ACCCAACGCTCCAATTCGTCTTCAATTTCCCTTTTTCACTCAAAAGGAACTCATCGACATGCTAAAAAAAATGGGTGAAAATCAGGGATCCAAACCGAAACGAATATCGGTTCAAGGTTCAGGTTCGGTTCGTAAAAAATAAAAATAACGGTTCGGTTCGAACCTCTATAAACCGGTTTGAACATTTTTGTATTCAGACCTACATTCGAATTATATATAGGGAAAAATATTTTTTTTATCATTAAAATAAAAAAACACATACATAAAACCTTCATTTTTATTAATTGCATAATATAAAATAATATTTAATTTATAAATATAACAAATAGATATCAATGATTAATTTTATAATATGAACAATATTTATAACTTTATTTATTTAAAAAATTTTTATTAAGCCTTACAATTAATAAATTTTCAAGATTTATCACACTCAAATTACATCTATAAGGGGATAGTATAAATTTAATTGTAGAAAAACATCTTTCTACACTAACTTGATAAGCTGGCACTGCCAGTATGATATCAGACAATTTATATAATTCAGGGTATCGATTACTCTGATTTCTCCAATAGTCTAAAATATTCATATTTTTATTTAACATAGGTTCTTTAGTAAAATTAACTAAAATATTTTTAATATTCTCCGATTTTTGTAAGAGATTTTGTTTGTTCACATCTTTTTTTTTAAGAAGACTTTCTACTAAGTCCTCTTCAGATGAAGATCCATTAACCGGTGTTGATTCACCTTCACTAAAATCCTCCACTCTTATAACAAAGTTCGATTCCATGTTATGCCATATTTTAATAATATGTTCTCTAGCTTTGGTTTTTTCTTCTTCAGTCAAAAGCATTTGATATCTATATAATAAAAATTAAAAATATCATTAAAAAAATCTTATTATATTTATGTATTGATAGAAAAATATATAAAGTGAAATAAAATTATTAATTAAAATAAATAAAATTATTGATTAAATTTATATAAGATATAATATTTTTAAAACATACCTTAAATCTAGATATATGCATGACAAAAAGGCATTGTTGTTTAAAAGTTGCTTCTCTCTAAAATTCATAGCATCAATTATTGAACCAGCAAAGGGTGAAGTAAAAATGGAAATTTCTAGCTTTCAGCCATATGCCATAAAAATCACCTAAAGTTAGCTGCTAGAGTTGTAAGTTCTTGGTAGCTACTTCATTGGTTTTAGTATATTTACCAACCCTATAATTGCTTCCCATTCCAGAGTTGTAAAACAAAGTTCACTCACTATGTAATACTGATAACTCCTCACAAATATCTTTTAATTCATACAATCTCTCTAGCATGTCATAGGTTGATAACCATCTGTGACAATCCAATATAGGCCTTTTAAGTTTAATTTTTTTAGTATGATTGATATCGATTTTGTCCTTAGCTTCTTGCAGGCAGTACGAGCTTTAATAATAATATTAGAAATGGAACAATTTTTTAATGCATGAGCTACCACAAGTTGTAAGGTATGAGAAGCACATCTTATATTTATAATATCATATTGAGAATCATTAAGATTGCTTGCTAATTCATCAGGTACATTTGTGAAACTAGTATAAAAATCATAATTATCTATATTTTGTATTTGTTCTTCTTCATCATCTTCAGACAATTGATTGTCATCATCACTATCCTCCATAAATAATTTTACCATCTTAATTAGATTTGCCCCATTGTCCGTTGTTATAGTGTACAGTTGTGATGTTTTTATTTCATAATCATTTAAAACTTTTATTAAAAGGAGTTTTAAATTTTCTGCAGTGGGCCGTTCAAAAATTTCTTTCATTGCCAGTGTTCTCAGAACAATTTTTGCTTGAATGTACTGAAGATTAATCCCAATAATGGACCTGTCTATACGAGTAACACAGTCAATTTTTAGAGATAATAATTTACCATTTATTTCTTTGATTATATTTTGCCGAATATCTAAGGCTTAATTCTGCAACATTCGATTGAATATTTTGGGAATTAATTTTAATATTACCTAAACCTTCTAATATAGGATCCAGAATTTTTCTAAAGCCACTATCATCGATTAATGTGAATGGTCTACCATTAAAAGTTACCAGCTCAGTACAAGCATCAATTATTATTTTTTTATTTAGCTTCATTTACTTCTTCTTCTGTTGGCTTGATGGCATCTTAAGCCTTTTTATTTTATTAGGAATTTGTTGTTGTGATATTTTAATTTTATTGAATTCTATAGGGTGGTTTCTTTTTATGTGACGCTCCAAATTTGCGCCATGATTACCTTTCATATTTATTTGACAATCAGCAATATTACATTTTGATGTGTCATTAATAATATTATAAGTAAAATAATTGTATATGGGGTTTAATTTTGCTCTAGGCATTATAATTTATAAGCTTAAAAAATCTAAAAAATATTGTAAAATGGCAATATACTAAAGTTCATAAAATTAATGACTGACACTTATCAATCAAATGTGATTGATAAAAATCTTTAAAACAATTCGAATATAATTAAAATATTTTGCAATATACTAGTAATAACTTACACATTATTTTAGCAGCATAAAATCACGAGGTTCGAACCGGTTCAGAGGCATTTTAGCGGTTCGGTTCAGGTTCGGCTAGAAATTTTTTAGCGGTTTAGGTTCGGTTCAGGTTTGATAAAAATACCGGTTTTTAGCGGTTTAACGGTTCCATTCAGGTTCGGTTTGGATCCCTGATGAAAATCCAATTTATATCCACATTATAATTATTAAGACATCCCAAATTGTCTTCAAAAATTATATATTTATTATATTTGAATTATATTTCATATCATTAATATTCATGCCTAAATTCAACTCTGAATTTAATGGCCTCTAAATATCAATACCTTTTTTATTAAATATATCAGAATTATTTTTAACTACACTATATATATTACAAATTTTATTATTATTATAGGATTTTTCAATTTTTATATGATTCTCTTTCAAATCATATAGTCATTGCAATCCACTCAAAGACTGAACACAATTTATAGCAACATGACCCATTTTCTCACACTTAAAACACATTCGGTCATTATCTTTATTATTCACATCTTTTTCACTTAAATCTGAAATAATAGAATCTTTTAAATTACGCACCACTGGATTTATCAATACCGGTGGTCTCTTTGGAAAACCATCTTTAAAATTTGCTTCTTTTACCATGCAATTTTTCTATCGGTGACAAGTTAATTTTTATCATTAACTTTTACACTCACATTTTCATTGATTTTTCGATCACGCGAAAAACAATTTTTCCCACTATGACCCCTTCGGCTACAAATATCACAAATTTCACTAAAATTATGATTTTTACTTCTAATTGTATCTATATCTTTAGAAATATTTTTCAAACTTTTTCTAATTTCCTTTATATCATTTGAAATTACACATTCGTTCCCATTTTGTTTAACATTGTTAGTAACACTATTACTTTTTATAACACTCTCAGGTTTATCAATCACAATTTCAGATATTTTCTCTTTCATTTCACTCATAAATGAATTTAAACTATCATTTATATCTTTTGACGTCATAAACCAACACTAGGTACTTCACTAGTATTTGACTTTTCATTCACCAGGAATTATTTATTTTTTTAATATTCAAATTTCTAAGTTCAAGTAAAATCAAATTTAAACTATTTTTCACATCTTCAGAAAAATCTAAAAATTTATCAGATGTCATAGGATTCAAATCCACAACATTAGAATCATCTAACTTACTCACTTTATTTGTAACAAATCTCTTCTTAATTATCTTAATTAATTGTATAATAAAAATCAATGAAATATATAAAATAAAAAAAATTAAAACTGAACCACACAATTGGTCACATCCAATTTATCAAAACTCGAATTAAATACTTTAACAAAATTATTCTTATAAATTTGCATTTTATTAAAATTAGAATTCCGGTGATTACTAATAAAAAAAACCATGTTCTATTTAACTATTTATAATAAAAATGTTATCATTAAGAATAAACCACTGCGTTGTGTACAAAAAAATATTTAAACAAAGAAAAATATTTTTTTTTACCTTTTTTTATCCGGATTCGAATGATCTTTCAAATTTCTTCTTCGAATAAAAATGATCTTTAGGAACCTCGTCCTATAAATTTGTTTCTCTTTATTTAAATATTTTTCCCAATTAGAATTTCGATCCTGGTACAACGTGCACAACTTTAAACGTATCGTAATATAGATTGTAGAAAGAATATACACTTCAAATCAAGTTTTTATTCACTTTATTAATTGATAAAAATCATTATACGTAATTTATTGATTTATAAAAGAATCTTTTTTTAAAAATTTCAAAACTTTAATGAATAAAATATATCGAAAAATATACATTATATAATCATCATTTTTTCCTTTTCATATAATAATTTCATCTGATTGACGTTTAACAAAATTAAATGTGAATACATGCTTTTAATGCAAACATACTAGGACATAAATATATTCCTCTTAAGAATAGTCTGCTTTTGAAAAAATTCAGTAGAGGATATGAAATTGATTACATCAAGAAAGAATGTAAAAAATTGGTTTCAATCCGTTTGTAATCAACATCTACATGATGCTTAGAATCCAATAAAATGGAAATGACCAATGAAGAGATATATATACCTTCTAGTGAATGTATTTTTGATATTTGGATAATTTTTAAACCATTTTATCTTATATACTATTTGGATTTATATTAATTATTGTATATATATATATTTATATATATGAATAAAACATGTTTGAGTTTTTATTTACCCACTATTTTTTCAGAGAATTTCTCCATGACATAAATTCCCGAGAATTTTACATCACTATTTCTGATTAGCTTATAATATATAGGGAGAAATTATTGTCACACTCACTCGTCATCAAATAAATATTTTATAGTGATTTTTACAAAAAAATAACATTTAAAATATTTTCAATTATAGCATTATATAATTTAAATAAAAAAAATGTATTCATAACAATGATATAGTTTAACATAAATGCATTGTAACGTATAATATTGAAGAATAAATTTAGATCGTTGATTTTGAAGAAAAATATATAATTCGTAGATATTTTAAAAAAATATCTAAATATAACAATCCTTGAGCACTTGAAAATGAAGGCAATTTTCTCCATTAATGACCTCCATTTTGACAAACGTCACCATCTAGTATAAATATATTTAAGATTAAGAATTATTAATAAATCAAATAAACATTTTATATCAGAACCCGATATTTTTAAAAAAAGATAGAGGTCTAAATAGTTGTCATTAGGACTCACAAAATTTAATTATATGATTATTCAAAAACATACTTTAATTGGTAATATTCATTTCAATGATGGTATTAACCACCATACAAAAAGTTACACCTATTTTTCACTTAATATTATAATTATCTCCATTATATCTGAAAAAAATGGTAAATGAATCTCACAATGGACTTTATATTTTTGATAAGGAAATCCGAAATTACCAAAGTGGTAGTAATTTGGCTGTGAATTGAACCCTTTTTTAAGAGGGTTTGGGTTCGGCCAAAAATTTTTGAACCAAGGTTTAAGCTTAGATTGCAGATAAATCTCACAAATAAAAGTTTTTTTAAAATATATTTATTTTATTATATTCTTCAGAATCATAAATGATCATTATAAATAGTACCATTAAAAATTTATAATGTAGGTTTAGGTTCACTGTGATCTGTGATAGAATAAAATCATCGTCTCCGGCGGTTTGTAAAAAATCAACGAATGAGGTTGTTGTCAGGAAGATCGTTCAATCGTAAAAATTTGCTCAATTACTCCATAGGTTAAAAAAAACTTGGATGGAGGATAGTTATGGAAGAGAAAGGTTTCAAAATGAATATAAAAAATACGAAGGTTTAGAAAAGATCAAATAAACATGAACTAGCAAATGTAAAAAAGGTGTTGCAAGAAAACTCTATCAATTGCATATGCTATTGCAAAGGGTTCACAGTAGGTGTAGTGGTGTAAAGGGAAATCTGCAGAAGGCAAGCGCGGCGTTTGTTTGCAGAAAGTGTGTGAAAGGGGTGAAAATGATGTTAATAAGACTGTTTTTATATTGGAAATGATTTGTAAAAAGTAAGGAAATTTTGATACTTAACGCAGGTGGAGGCGTTGAGTTTGCAGTGGTGGCAAAATAAGATGAGCTTGGAAGAAATTCAAAGAGATGACCTCAATTTTAACAGATAAAAATGCCTAGCTTTGAAGGGAAAAGTTTATGCAAGCTGGGTGAGAAGTTGTATGATGTATAGATATGAAGGGTATCTAGGAGAGAGAGAGAAAAAACAGCAAAGAATTGAGAGAAATGACTGGGATAGCTGTCAAATCTTTTCTTTTATCTAACATGGAAGGCGCAAATAAAAGTGCCACCAGGTGAACTGGGCTTAAATCCCTTTTTCATCAAAACATCTTCTTAGCTCTCCGCTTTATATCCTTGCCACTTTTGAAGGTGAAGTTCATTAAACGATTTGATTTAATTGTAGAGCCTGTATCCCTCTTTGTGCGAACACCACTAATAACTTCGTGCTTGCAAACCAATTGTCAAAGAAACATTATAAATTTAAACACTGTAGAATAAATGCTACCATTCTAAGGACTATCGTTTTCATCGGGCAATTCAGGAGCAGTTGGCATTCTTATAGGGGATACTTCGTAAGTATAAACAATTCTATCTTCACCATATTTACAGTGTTGCGCAGATTTGATGGAAAACATTCTATATTTTTTAATTTATTTGAAAATGAAGTTATTTAACTTGCAAAAAGATTCCCAGAACTTAAAGACTATAGCAGCCCACAAATGATATTTTAGATTCACTAGACTTCCGTTCGGGTTAAAAAACAACTTCTGCCATATTTCAGAATATTTAGAAATATAGAGTGGAGATCGAATCAGTCGAATTCGACCTGTGACGTTAAAAAAGGTTTTTTGATCCGCTGTCCGAATTTTTTATGATGGAAAAGTATTAAATTTGAATTTTCAAGTAAATTGAAAATTCCGGGAGGGTCTGACCCGGAATATATTTTGTCCAATATGCCTGGCCAGAACTGCAAATCTCGGTTTTATAACGATTACATATTAATAGCTTGAAAAAACGATGACAAACATTGATTGAATAATATGGCTTATAACATCAAAAAATAAGACATAAGACATGGATGGCATTGATGCTAATGGTGTGCATTAAACTCACGATAAAATAAAAACAATACTTAATATGCCCCAACCTATAGAAATATCCATAATTGGAGGATATTCTTGTAAATTTATAAACAACTTCTTAAGTATGACGGATCCGCTGTATAAACTATTAACATAAATAAATGGAGGAGCGATGAATACAAAAAAAAGTCATGATGAAACAAAATCGGGAAAAATCTATTGGCATAGCGGTTGATATACAGAAATGAGTTAAGTTCAGTATCAGAAAAAACAATACAAGATATCTTTACGATTACAAAAATAAAACATTGCCATAGGAGTACACGAATTTAAGATCATAGACTTGGCAAACACAACATTGTATCAGATTGCTTATCGGGTTTACCACAAACTGAAGCAGAGAATGCAATATGTAATATCAAATGCGAGGAATTCAGAATGACTTTGGACACTCCAGATTTTTAAAAAAGTATTAGGGAAAGCTGAAAATGATACGGATATTTCTTAACAAATTATATAAAAAATATAGAGAATAAATTAAGTATTATAGAAAATTGTCTTTTTAAGGAAAATAGAATCATTATTCTCAATAATATGAGCAAACTTTGGTTACAATAATAACACATGGTATATTTAGGTGTAGGAAAAACTAAAGCGTTGACCAGCATGGGTAGCTAAAAAATAAATTCATATCTAGATCTAGTAATAAATATTTGTGAATCATGCATTGGTTATTAATATTAGATAGTGTGTTTCTAATAAAAGCCTCGAAATTTTATGACCGCAAAAAAAAATAGTAAAAGAACAAATAAAAATCTTTAACCAATACCGAAACAACTAGTATCAGAGAATGGATAAAATCATACTTTCAAGAAATTATGGGATTAAACATATATTGACGTCAGCGTACAATCCGAAATCAAATGAAAACTACATGGATAGGAAGATCATTTAAAACGATGAAAAAAATGAAGAAGATAAAATAGACATAGATTAAAAAATTTCCTTTTCAATTATCGTGACACATCTAATTAAATAAACCTATAAAATTAATTGTTTACACAAAGAACAAGGACAAAATGTGGTCTAGTAAAATGATTGAATATATAAATGAAATATCTTTAGCGATGACTGTATATTGAAAAATAAAGTGAGGAGAGAAAGTGCGGTATAAAATAGTTGGAGAAGACAAAAAAATGGGAAGGAACTATCAAGAAAATAGAAAGCAATGTACTCTATCGATAAATGAAAATGTGTAGTAATAGATATCTAATTCAAATTTTAAAAAGGTTCAAACGATAATATGGTAGTTTTTTGATGAACAAAATAAGACAAAATCAGTTATGACCAAGATTATTTTAGATGGGAAAAAAGTGGGATGGGTGGGAGACCAGAAGAATCAAGACCGTGACTAAACATTTCCTGACCTGACTATGATGATGTAATAACTCACAAGCTTTAAGGAGGGAAAAGACTAACTAGGCGACCCCTAAGACCTAAAGAAACTTTAATCAACTAACGGTTAAGATAAAGTACGAAAGCAACAATATGACAGCTATCGCGGGAATAGATTAGGGGAGCAACCTGGATAAGAAAAATAAATTTTACAAAAAAATTGTATATTGGAATATTTATTTGAATTTTTGTAGACATTTGAATTGTATATATTTGTCGTAAATTATATTATCCTCCCCAGATTGGCTTTTAAAGAGAGGGGACATGTTAAATCTGTGATTGCAAAGAGAGATATAGACGTTGGTATATAAAATATTTCCGCATAAAAAAGCATATCACTTAAGTTAATGTAATATTCAGGTTAACCTTGAAATAATGATATGATTTACATCATGAATATTATTGATTATAAAATAATTTTTTTTTATTGAAGAATAAAGGATGGTATTAGTAAACCAAAATGATAGATTTTTATAGGTCAGGAACCTATGAATAATTTAAAAACGAATTACTTTGCAACTTAATTTATATCTATTAAAGCCTTCGATTTAGAGGGTCTTTGATTGATTAGTTTTATGAAAGATTCAAATTCTTTTAATCGAAACAAAAGTCACCTTTGAAAATAAAAATAAAAAATTATTTGGGGTTTTTTTTGCTAGCGAGCCTTAGTTATCACCTATTTAAGATGACCATTATAGATTTGATTTCCAATCGAACTGAATAGATTAAAGAGGAATCTTATAAAGTGACGATCAGTACAAAACTATAAAATTACCTTTTGGAAGTGAGTTTTGAAAAAAATTATAAGTATAATTTTTAGCCATTCATTTACCAATAACTTGCTCCTTAGCTCGAAGATGCTGCATGTCCGCCTCTTGTTTCTTGGCGAAGGTCGCCGCCACGAGAAAGGGAAAGATGAGCGAGGCCTCGGCGAATACTTTGACAGGTTGGTCGAAACCGCGTATCTTCCCCCACGAGAGAGCCTCGCCAGGATCTGCCCCCGCGTCAGACCCATCGAACTCCTGATTCGAATTGATATAGACAGAAAAATCGGCTCCGTTCCTCATCATGTTAGCGTTGAGTACATGGTGCTTGACTAAACCACCCCCTAGGATAAGAACACCTGTTGATGAGGCGCCCCGAACTGCTACATTGTTTACCCGTTTAACGTCTAGTGGTATAGGTATGGATTTTGGAAAACCCGTAAAATCGATTAATAGAAATAAAAATAGGAGAAAAGAAATAACTTTGTTTTTAAGGTTTTATGCCTCGAGATAAAAACAAATTCTCCTAAAAAAATAGACAAATATTGGAAAAAAATTGTATTTTTTTATTGTCATTTTTTTATGATTCAAAAATTCACAAGGTTTGTAAAATTATAACTACTATTAATATCAATAAAAATAAATGGGTGAAGATAATCTAAATACATTTTTTAAAACCTTCTATGATATCCAATTTGAGCCCTGGATTTTTGTAAGCATGAAAATAAAGCATATCGCCCAAAGAACCATCGGTGAGAGCGGGGCAAAATACGGGTATATTGTTTTTATGGGCCCAATAATAGATGGAATGGACATCATTGATTTCGTGCCCGAATCTAGAAATCATTCTGGATGGGGTCCAGTTCGTACCCTGAAAAATCATAAATTATTTCACAAAGTCTTTATCCATATTTTTTATTTTAATTCTTAACAAACATTGTCTCCTAACTCAACAATCCCATTAGTATTAACGCCATCTTTATAATATATTTTTCCTTATCAATCATTATCAAATTCTAATTCTATTATTATATCAAACTTGTCCACAAAATATCTTCAATTCTATAGAAATATTAATTAAAAATTTACCACTTTGAGTCCTAACTCAACTCCGATACACTTTTTAATTTTAGCAACAACAGTGGTGTATTACCTAAATATCTGAAGGGAGAGGGGGGGGGTTCTATACTATCAAAAAAAACATGATATATATAAAATGATTATTTTAAATTAAGAATATGAATAAATTCTTATATTTAAAGTAATGTCATAAATTTAATACCACTGAAAATATACATAAATATGAATTAAAATAATTTCAATAAAATTTTTCTTCGTTTTCCTTTGGGTAAATTTTTTTTGAAAAGATTTCACTCGCCCCGAGATGATTCCTTTCCGTTTATATATGAATCTGGAATTTACTCTATGGAAGGATCATTAATATTTATGAACATTAAGTTTTTTATTTACTTTTAAATTTGCTAATTTTCTAATCATCGTAATATGAAACTTCTTTCATTCACACTCGGCAGTATTGCGTGATAAAGTACACGCAGTTAAGGAATTTTTAAAATTTTTCATAAGAATATCTTCATCGATATATTGTCGAAGCTCAGTAATGGTTTCATATTGATTTATTTGAATCTTTGGTAGATTCCTTTTATCTGCTTCTTGCAAAATAGCGTATCTAGGTTCTTAAGCCAATTTTATTTTTGAGTAATGAATGATTATATCGAAAAAAATTTCTAAAAAAAGAAATAATTTTTTTAAAAATTATATTCAAGTTATTTCAGGACTATTTGATGCGTTTTGTAAAAATTATATATTGGTCTATTTCAATCTTACTAGTTTTGAATGCTTTTATTTTTAAATAAAAATCTAATTTCTGAATCGAGAGACATCTATAAATATTCATCTACATGATATTTAAATATTATAGTCAACATGTTTCTAATAATTCAATTCTTTAAATATCAGTCAATCAATAAAAAATGGTTCATTGGCAATAGGACACCGAAGAACTTGATAAAAAAAAATATCCAAATTTATTATTTCTATCAGATCGATTAACTTTAATATCTAACAACCCACCTATTTGAAAATTACAATACATTTAAAAGAACAATTTTGTTAAAATTGGACTATTTCTTGGTTAAATCGGCTTAATCCTACTAGTCAAAAAAATTCGCTATGCAAAAAATGGAGCCATTTATCACCCTACTTGCTGGTGGCGAACCTCCCTCTATATTTTAAATACAGAAACCACATCAATTTATAAAAATTTCTATGGGGTTATAAATTCTTGCAAAGAAAATTTGATGTATAAAATATTTATTAGTCAATAATAACTATTTTATAAAATATTTCAATGGATCAAGAGTCCTGCCGCCCCCGTAGAGCTGGCATAGATGAAATAAAGGGAAAATTTTAACACCTGCTATCAATGTCAATTGTTAATACATTGTCTTCTCCAAATAGTACCGGTTTTATTAGCCTTTGTTTTAATATTTAATGATTAACATTTTCATAAAAATTTTATTTTTTACCTTTAATTATCAAGAAAATTTATAATATCCATATAAAATGAAAATAAAAATACTAATAAATTGTGGCTACAAAAAAAAATTATATTTTTGACTATAATTTAATTTTTATAGTAAAACAATTTTGAAAAAATATTAAAATTTTTTGGCGAAGGCTAAGCTCAGCCCCTCCTCAAAATTTGGAAAGTGGGCCATCAAAAAATTTTCGGAGGGGCTTAGCCACCCATAGCTCCCTTCGTAATATGCACCTGATCAACATGAAACCAGGACCATTTCATCAAAGCCATTAAATAATTTATCATTTCTGTTATAACTCTTCCTATACATTATGATGCTTTTAATAATACCTTTTTTTTATTAGCTTCCCATGTGATACTAAAATAATCTTATTCTAATCAGCAAGCACGAAAATTATTTCTTTCAGGAACTTAGGCGTCCTAAACTTGTTTCATATAATTATATGAGGTAATAGAGACCTTTCGATCAGAAGATAAAGTTATCCTGTTTGTGGAGCATCATAAAAACTTACAAAATCATCTTATCATGGTTTAATCTTTAGCAAAAAAATCTTTTAAAAAACCATACTTGGAACAATATAATTAACATCTAGCAAAAGTCTTTTCCTTTCTTTCTTGTATATAAGTAATACCAACATTCTACGCAAATTTTGGCAGTTAAATTGTTTATTTAAGGTATCTATCTAAGTTAAAAGTAAGACCCAATCATTTAGCTATTTTGAATATTGAGGGGTAAATATTTATCTGGTTTTAAAACTTATTAATGTTCGCAGACTCTATATCCTACATCTCATTAGGCAAGGTCGGATAACGTAAGGCAAAAGCAGAAAGCCATAAAATACATGTAGATAAATAAGAACGAAAATTTAAACCTGGTTGATTTGTTCATTGAGCATAATATCTAAGATGGGCATGATCCAATCCTCAAATTTGCAATAGTTTTCATTAGGTACCAGAAGGTTGCCAGTTCTGTTGAGACCCTGAGCTCTGAGTTCCTTGCCAGGCAGATCAAAATCGCCTAAATAAGTCGGGGCCAGGCATTTTATCAAATCTTCTTCTACACCACCTGCTGTTGTTACCAACACGTCCACCTTATATTTAAATAAATTAAAACATTATTTAAAAATGTATTTATTTTAGTTTTTTAAAGATTATGATCTTATAAATTGTTAAATCAAGTATATATATGTAAAACCATATGATGTTGCACCAAGTATCTTATAATGTCACGTATTCCACAAGACACGAGGTTCGAGGTGAAGCTGAGAAATATGATGCATTTCCTAGAGACGGGTTTGCTAGAGCCACACCCACAAGCGTGGTAATAATCGTCAAAGGATTCGGTTATGAAATCTTCCGCGGCAGGATCCGCTTTGTGTAATTGTTTAAATTCTCGGCACTCAATCTGGGAGAAGAGATTTTTTAAATTTTGGGAATTGTAGATGTATGTTATCGTAAAAGTGCGTAATCAGGCAATATCTTATAAAATTGTCATAAATTTATAGGAAAAGCAAATACTAAAATATATTAAAAGCGAAAACAAGTTTCCGAATTTAAAAAACGTAACATCAGAGACCTGCAGGTCCGGCCTTAAGCCCAGCCTGGGTACACGAGTCAGGCGATATTTTAATTTTTTTAAATATGCCCGGGTCGGGCCTGTAATTTTTTTTAAATAACCGGGTCGGGCCTTATATTTTAAGCCCAAATATTTTAAATCGCCATTAACTATAAAAGTTAAAAATAAATATAATATAATATATTTTAAAAAAATCAGAGCCTAAAAATTTTTTTAAAAAAATCCGGACCGGGCCGTGCAAATGGTATTTATGGTCTCTAAAATAAATAATCTAATTTGGAAAATAGCAAAATAATTTGTTTTAATTTTGGAAATCTAATTTTGGCGAAAATGTAATCCCATGTATGTAAAATACCTATCCTATAATTTTCAGACAATTTGATCATGAACTTTTGAGTTATTTCTAATGTATATACTAAAACTACATGGAGGATTACACACATGGCCGGTAAATAAGAGTTTGGAACCAGAACTTGGTCAAATATAAAAACTATAACCAAAGCCTCTGAGGATCCATAATCCGGATAAACTTTAGTCCTATTCCATTTTAAAATCATAATCATCTAAATTGACCAAAAACTTTTTATATTTAGAGTGATGACTATCTTCAAGAGGTAATCATACTGAAATATCCTTAATTTGTCACTTTATAGAGGGATATACCCATAAAAAGTAAAAATAGTAAAATGTAAATTTGTTAAACTTTGTAATAAATTATAAAAATATGGGAATAAGTTACCATTTTATTGATTTCGCTGATGGCCAATCCAAAGTTGGTAGCTTGAAATCCAGTTTTGAAAAATGACTTAAATATGCCATCATAATCGATACCCTTGTTAAAATCATACCCATCAATCTACCCAAATATTTTTACAATTTTTAAATTTAAAAATAATGCAAAAACCTTAATTATTCAAAGTTATTTTTTTTTCTTTTAAAGCGCATAGATTTTGAAGATAAATTTAATAAGTGATTTTATATAAAGACTATTTATACATTTCTAATCATTTTTCAAGATTATAAGGATGAAGCTGGCCGCGTCCCAGACCGATTTATTTTATAAATATAAAAGAGGAGTTTAATAATGTCTAATAAATTTTTTATAAAATTGAAGGTGGTATTACCAAAAAATCGTTTTTATATATTAAATAAACTGAAATTGGAAAAATCAAAAAAAAAAATTTTATCAAAAAGTATAATCTTTGTGTTATTTTTGTTATTTATTATTTCCAATATTTTTAATATATGATTTGAATGAAGACCGATAATGGTAAAATACGTATATTTGGCCATCGAATGTTATGAGGCTAAAATTTTGGCTATTTCTTAGTAACATTCATCTTTCTTTACTTACCAAATTTTTAAAAAATGGAAGGGAGTTGGGCGAATCGTTGTTGACATGGAAAAACTCTAGAAATCAGGAATATCTCTGTATTATTGGCTTAGAGGGAGTCTAGAGGCTTTCTTGTTATTTAAAAAGTAAACAACTCCATAATATGGTCAGGTCAGTCCACCAAAAAAGGGTATATCCAGAAATTTATTCGTAAAAACATTCGTTGAGGATAAGTGAGATAGTCTTTATACATAATAGAATTTGAAGTTTACGTGATAAGAGAAATCAAAGAGATTTTTAAGCAATTATTTTTTTCTCTTAAATATAATGATATTAAAATATATCTTACCGACTAAAATATGATTAAAGTTTTTATTATCTTAAATTAAGAGTTTCCATAGGCCATCGACTTGGATGTAACATTGTTCAACCACATACATGCATCAAATGTAAAATATTAGTTGACTTCAAAGGGAGACATGGTCTAACGAATACCAAACATCCTGAAGCCTACAAATTTATCATTAGATGATGGCTTAAGACCAGATGGCTTAACTTCCGTGCCTTGGTCTTTAGGAAAATCCTTAATTTGGGACTTCACATGCGTATCTTCTTTCCCAAAAAATTTAAATTCTAATCCGGTTGATATAGCCGAGAAAAAAAAACAATGAAATATTCCAAATTCACAAATTATATTTTTACACCGATCGTTATCTCTTCCCTTAGACATATGCCAAGCGGAACTTTAAAATTCTTAAAAAATATAGGGGATAAGATAAGAGCCCTTACATCAGAACCAAAAGAATACTATTTTTTAAAACAAAATCTACAAATAACTATTTTAAAATATAACTATTCATGTTTTGGGGGAACTTGTAGTCCCACCTCCGTTTTTATAAAATAATGTTTTATTTTATTTTATATTTGATATGTTAATTTTAATATTATTTTATTTGATAGTAGTAATAAAAGGAATTTAATTCAAAAAAAAAAAATGTTTTAATAAGTAAGCTAAAGTAAAAATCGAATATATTTTTATAGGCTAATTTATTCATTCTAACCTTGATAAATAAGGCATTTTATTATATAATTATAATTATTACTATTCGTCAATATTTTTATTTATAATATCCACTTGAAAAGGGGCCATAAAATTATAAAAAACATAAATATATTTTTTATTTAGACAATAAGTCCAAAAGTTAATTATGATATAAAATACAAAGAAACTATTATTTATATTATATATATATATATATCTCAAAGTTCCAAAAATAAATTTCATGTAGTAGTTGCAGGTTTAAATATATTGGAAATTTTATTTCCAATATAATCTTGACATTCGGATTTGTTAATGTTAACTAATAAGCTAGGATCGACGTTAATTGATAAATTAGTATTCTCGAACGGTAAGTCATCATTAGGGTTACGTATGTAATCCGATAACCTTTTTTGAATGGTTCGACTATTATTGTCGAATGTGGCTTCCATATTAATAGGGTCATGATAAATACTGTTATGAAGGTCTTCTATCTTCGATAACATATCTTCTAGAAGAAATTGGCAAGCCGGGTTCACCTCGTTTGGGAAAATATTTGTTGTAATGGGCTTTATCCAAATCGCCCATTTATTGTCATGAAAGGGATGTTGTTTGTTAGGGTAATTTCGCTCTTTTTCATAGCGTTGCTTGTTTCGTAATGGTAACAACTGATAAAATAGATCCCCCAGAGCCGACATTTGAACGACAACCAGACCATCATTGGATAAATTACAGATGCCATAATCCAAAACGGGCACATTTACGCGTTTCATAATGTCGGATACTATACTTTGATTGAGCTTGACACCGCTAGGGTCGTTACATGTCCCTGGAAAAAATAGGCAAGGAAAGTTGGCCTTGAAAGGCTTCCCACTAGCTGAACCACCATTTTTGAGCGGGTAAAAAACAATATCGCCTAAACCATGAGAAGATGCACTCAGCAAAATTTCTTGGCGAGAAGTGGTAGCGTCGATGAACGAGCAATATCGATGCCTAATAATATTGGCCTTTTTGGTGCTCGTTATTCCACCGTTAGATGTCAAGATGGGCATAAATGAATTGATCAAGTGATTAATGTACCGATCGTCGACCAAAAATAAATGGTGTTCAGTTGAGAGCACATGGGCGTGATCTCGCCCGGGATATATATTGCTTTGATAAATAGAGTAATTGTAACCGATTGATTCAGTTTCAACGCTTTGATAATAAGAATTAGTGTCAAAGAGGACTTTATTTTCAACGCTTTGCGGCTGGCACCTAAGATCATGATGGTAGAGTATTGATCCGTTGACGTAAGCGATGCAGCGCGGGTGATTAGAAAAGTAAGAAGCTAGTAAGGGATGAATAGTAGGCGTTAAGGAATTGAAAAGAGATGATGATTGGATTTCAATTTCCTGCACAATCGAGCATGTGTTCAAATCGTATAACAATAAAGTGGGGGAGCGTTCTAACCCGTTAAACTTCTCCACGCTTAGCAACAAATCACTAGGAATGTAAGAACTTTGATGAAACGAAGAGCAATCTTGTATATTTATACTCCCAACGGGGCTCAAGGTAGAAGACTGGTATAGTTGCAAACATTTGTTGGTGACGAAGCACACGCGATTAAAAGTGTTCAAGTGATGCAGGGACCTTGGAAGGTTCTGTAGGCTCACGGCGTTTTCAGGTTGATGATTAACAATTTTTACGTGGCCGTTCTTTGAATCGAACACCAGACGAGATACAATGTAGGTCTTCAGGTCACGATAAGGTCTTAACAAGCATAATGAATCGGTCGTTTGGGCCGAATCCTCAGAGGAGTTCAAAAAGATCAAGTGTGGTTGATGTGTTTCGGGACGATCTTTCCAATAATAGTCAAGCAATTTGGAAGAGTCTTCTTCTACTCTGGGCTTGATAAGGGCCATATTTCCGGTCAGAGAACGCGTTTCGTCATTTGCGTTTGAGTAACTCAGGCAAACTTTGTAGCGCTTTAAATTGCGTTGAAAGGAGGCCAAAATTGTATTGTAATTGTGCGAGCATTCTAAATAATGAGTAGTCTGAACAGGGTTCAAGACCCCTAAAGGATAACAAGGCTTGTTCACGATGAATTCATTCCATGTTGGATCGAATTGCGAGAAAGGACGAGCGCGAAGATCGGTAAAGTTGATTTCGCAATTTTGGAAACCCTCGAAATCAAAAAATAAGTTTTCTTTGGTGTTTTCGGCGAATTTGTAGAAGGGATATGAACGTGAGCATTTCATCGAATTAGTGGAGGAAGTTTTAATAATAGATTTGTCTAAAAATCTAAGATTTCTTATCTGTTCATGAATTTTTTTGACAACTATAAAAATTAAATTGAAATATATTAAAAAAATGTTATGTGCGTGTTTAATAGAATTAAATTATAGATTAGAGGTGTGCGCGGGGAAAATTTCTTATTCAAGGCCCGTCCGCTCACGGTGGCTAAAAATATTCACGCCTTTTTACGCTTGCTGCTAAAAAAAATTTAAATCGACCCGTCCGTCCGCTCATGAAAGAAAATATTTTGATCACGCCCGAAAAATTCACGGTTTTAAATTTTTTCTGAATTTCTCAAAACTTTATTGCTACTTTTACGCTATTTTGAATCATAGTTTTTTATTTATTTTCCATATCAATAATAAAGAAAATGATTACCATTATAAATCAAAATTTTTATTTAAAAAAAGATATAATGTCTGTATTTTTGGATTTTAATGGTGTTCGTCTTTCCTCATAAGCGATTGGCTATAGAAAAAATAATCTTTCACTGGAATCCGAACTTGCCTGGGCTAATAAAATTTCACTAGCAACTTTTCTCAAAAGGGAAAAGAATTTTCCTGCTTCCAAAACTTCAAAATATTTTCATTGTTATTTGTTTTATAAACGATAAATCTTTTAAGTTCATCCTCACAACTTTCATCGATAAATGTTGTAGGCTCATCAAAATCAAATAATCTATAAATTCTCCAAATGTTTCATTTAGTGTTTTTTAAGTATTCAGGATGGATTAGAAAAGTTAAAAATGATAGTTGGCAGTGTCTTATGCATATCGTCGAATGTTAAATCATTTTATCTGCCTTTTCATCGTCTTTTAAAAACTTAATACTTTTGAAATTTGGATTTAGAATTCAGTCTACCTTATGTAGTGGCTGCATTCCTTCCTTTAAAGAAAATATTGTTCTGTTTCTTATGATTTTTGTTATTACTCTATCACCTTCTGAAGGTTGACAAAATTTCATTAATTTTTGTTTCCTTCATTTATGGTGGGATGAGAATCTGCGCTCAATTATGTGAGCATTCTTTGAATAGTGATAAAAATATATCTGATTAGTGTATGATATTTACATCAATGGTCGCTAATTCATTTAATACTTGTTTGTTAAACAGACTAACCTGTATTTCATCATATGATTTTAGGGAAATTTGTATCATGATATATATATATAGTTCCTCTCGTTACTACATATTGCTAAATGGAATGGCT